CAAAATATCAAACTCAAAACTGCAGCTGTAAATAATAAAATCAGCTACAAAAAAGCAGTGGAAGTCTCAGTTTGTTCAATGGAAAATAAAAATTGTATGTTGCGCAAATGCCAACAGTGCTGATGTCGATATTGAGAATAAAGGAAATGTGAAATATGCAATTTGGGATACTGTTCAAATAGAAAGTAAAAACTCAGAAAGTTCCTCTATGAGCAGAATGACTCTTGTAGAACATAATGAGCCTTACAAAGATGCTCTAAGAACCACTTCTGAAGATATATACAATTTGACACAACATCATTTCATTTCGTCTAAACAGAAAGAACATTACTGTCAATGCCGCAAAGAATTAGACCTAAATACTGCAATTTTCGTCATGGACTTTGCTGAGAATTATTCCTTCATTGCTCAAGACTCACCTCAAGGGCTTTACTTCAATAATAAGCAGGCTACGTTATTTACTGGGGTCTTGTACTATAGAGATATTGATACCAATGAGTTTTCATGCCAAAGTTTTTGTGTAATCTCAGACACTAAAACACAACAAGCTTATTCTGTGAATGCATTCCAAGAAGCTATTTTGAATGAATTAAAAAAAGAGTTTCCTTGGATACAAAAATTGATATACTACAGCGACGGAGCTCCAACACAGTTTAAGAACAAGTAAGATATGATTAAGTTCACTCAAATATCCTAAAATTGTTACCAAGAAGTAAAAAAGTGTTTTTCTTTTCTGAAGATTGATTATCTTTTAACTGTTCAGAAAGCTCCTTGAACTTTAAAAGAATCTGAAAATAATCATTTATAAAATAAAGATGATAGTTCTAGGAATCAAAATAACAGGAAAGAGCTTAGAAGATTGGTCGTACTATAATAAACCTCGATCGTATTTTTATATTTACTCTACAGTATTTGACTAATGAATATGATTAAAATTTATTTATTACATCATCTTTCGAGCCAAAGATATTTCGAGGTATAGTTTTCAATTGAAAAAAAAATCTGATGAAGCAGTAATGTTAGTTTCCGTTGATTCACATGAATACGTATTTGAAGCATAAAAAATATTTTGAGTACTTGTTCTCTATAAAATATGTGTGTTATAATCAAGACTTCAATCAACTGTCAATAATAATTTCAAAATCAGCATTGAAATTCGTGACCGTAACATTCAACCGTAGTGGCTTTCCTGTAATAATAATGTGATTTGAGATTGAAAAAATCAATTTTGGTGTAAAAATCCATTCCAATAATGATTTTAAAACAATTCAGAAGCAGCAAGGTATGATTATTTTATTTTTTTCAGAAATCATCTGATTAACATCTGCTACCATGAAAACGATTTTGGCTTGAAAGTTATTTCTTATAACTTTTTTATGACTTCTCACGGTAAAAGCGCAGCAGATGGTATAGGAGCTGCTGCAAAACGGAGTACAAGAAAAGCATCTTTACAAGGCACCTGTATTTTGAATGCCGAACAGATGTATGCTTATCTCAGTGAAACTGACTCTGATATAAAGTATGACATAATTAATCATTTTGATTATCATGACATTTATACAATTATAATGTTTCAAAAATATTTCAGATACTTGTATGTGAGTGACAAAGACGTTGAATCGAAAGGCAAGAAACTGAGTTCCAGATTCAAATTAGCTAAGACGGTCAAAAATACCAGTCAATATCACCCTTTTGAACCAGTCAATACGGAGACAATGAAAGCCAAACTATATTCTTATGATACTGAGTACGATATCGTCAACATAGCTTGAAAATAAAGAAAATAGCCCAATTTTTTTATTTCTTTCACCCATGAAGGACCTTCCTACGTTGACATAGAACTTTTTCGATAATCCATGATCATGTATTTCTGACCGCGATTGATGGATCTGGCGGTATGGAAAATATAAATTTACTATACTACAAACAAAAAACATGTATACTTTTTAATTTACAAAGAAAAAATGAATTTAAAGATTTTTAAGCTCGCTTTAAATCAAGGCAAATAGTGAAATACGCTGAAAAATCGATAAAAAGAGATGCCCGCCCACTGTATGATAGGGTTCGATATCCGGTTCCCGACAATTTTTACCTTGTTTGGGAACATTTTTTTGAGTTTGTCTGAAATTTTCAGCTCGATCGAAATAGGCGAACGCATCTTAATCATCACTTGAAAACGCGAAAAATGCGATTTTTCTTAAAATTGCCAACTTTGAAAGGCCGTATCTCCGTCAATTTTTGATGTATTTCAACGTGCGAGAGCTAGTTTTCTTCGTCTTAAAAAGACCAAACAGATGAGCTTTTATGTGATCAAAAAACTCAAAATTGACACTTTTACAGGGGTTTGAAGATGAGGTAAAATCGAGTAAAACGTATATTACTTTTCTGTCCGTTTGAATGCTTCCTGATTACATGAGCTAATTTTAAAATACACCAAAAAAAAGTACGTGAAAAAAGGAAGAGAGTGAGCTGTGGCACAATATTTTAGCATCAAAACTCACCATTCTGTGGTTTTTCAAAAATGATTATTTTGAGCGCGATTTTGACTCGATTTTGAGACTTTGAAAAATTCTAGGGACCCCAAATCTAGTTCTAAAAGTTCAAAGAGTCATATTTCAACCAATGAAACATGAAAAAAAATTGGCGTCGAAATCGGTTGACCCCCCGCGCACGGTTTGGCCGAAAAGTATTATTTTGACCCATATATATATATATATATATATACACACACACACACACACATATATACATATATACATGAATGATTCCAATACTTTTATGGAACGTTCTTGGATTCATTTACTCGTGTACTTTCAAGAAAAAGTAGATGATTTAGGATGTAGCTGTTATAATATTATATATAATGTGCCACTTACCTGTGAAGTCGATATTTAGTGTAGCAGAATAGACTATAATTTTTTTTTACCTTCGTAGTCTAAATCAATTTTATGCATAACAACTTTTTCAATTTGTGGTTACACAAAAGAAAAAGTTTTTGGATTTGTCACAAAAAAATTTTTGTCAATGCAAATTAAAGTTTCAGAATTGTGACAAATGGCAGCTCTTTTATAATGTGTAAGGGTACAAAGTTAAGTATCGTTGATGATGAAATACATAACAAATGTACTATTACACAGTTTAGAATTAAACATTTTATTATTATTGGGTTATTACTAAGCTAGAGCTTATATGTGTTTCTCGGTATTTTTATGTGTTAATGAACTTATTTAAAAAGAAAATAAAAGTAAGGGAAAACTTTTGCCTTTAAAGTTGCCTGAATGGCGTATATAAATCTAAATGAATAAATGCGTAAAAACGTGTATTACTTTGATAGAAATAATTTCCAATAGCCCGTCAAAAATTAAATAGGAGGTGACTTTTATACATCAACCATCCAAATTAAAGGTGCAGTGGGAACATCCGACATTTTGAGTTCTTTTAAGTTCAAACACAGCCAACGTTCATTTCCAACAGTATAATGCAATACTTTTCATCTATATATTTTTTCACGTAGATTATGATGCCGTTATCGGTCTTATGTTGCAAATCACATAGGACGAGCTGACGGCTTCTTTTGTGGTGATTGCTATGAAAAATAAAATGTTTTTCTTTTCACTGGGTTTCCTCCTCTAGCGCTTCGTAGGTAATTTCTATCATCACACCAATTTAATCACCGCGCGCAGTATTTTACATGAAATAATACATTGAAAGATGTATCGTGCTATTGGAATACTTGTTTGCGTTTGAATTGTAAGCAAGTAAAAACAAGTCTTGGTCAATTTTGAATGCTTTAATTTTCCACAATCGCAATATTATTATTAAAAGATAAACATTCCGTGACGACCTAATTAATGACTTATGAATTACAATAAAATTACAATCATTAAAAATACCTTTGACTTTGATCAATCCATCTTTTTCGCGGCAATGAGGGAGATATTTTAGTAGTATTTAATAGTCAGTGATGCCAACCTAAATTTACAAATTAAAATATTTCAATTTGATATGTCCGGTTCTTCCTTCCTATTTTCGAGTTGTCCGCTTGTAGTCGTTGAAATAAGAGGTGTCCGTTTTCAACGAAACTCATTCGACGTGTCCGATTTATCCTCTAAGTTTTCGAGGTATCCGTTTATTCGCGTGACTCTATCGATGTGTCCGGTTTTTCCTTAGCTTCCTCGAGGTGGCTGATTTTGAAAATATTTCTACGAGGTGTCCGAGTTTTCAAGTAAACCATTCGACATGTCCGTTTTCAACGCAACTCATTCGATATGTCCGCTTTTCCCTTCGGCTTTTCGAGGTGTCTGCTTTTTCACAAAACTCATTCGACTTGTCCGATTTGTATTTAGTTTACACGAGGTGGCTATATTTTAAATCACTTCAGCGAGGTGTCCGATTTTTCAAGTGGAATATTTGACGTGTCCGCTTTTTACTTACATTTTTCAACGTGTCCGTTTTTCAAAACAATTTTTCGAGGTATCCGGTTGTTCCACTAACCCGACGAATTCAGGAACTACGCGAGGGTGGATATATATATTGAGAGCATTACTATCATCCATTCATTATCATAATGAGAGTTAACGTATTCGGACGTAAACTTAGACATCGAGCTAACGACCGTTACGGTCCACCAAGTCTTGGATTCAAGCTCACGTCAGAAGGTTATTTCGATCTGGCAAATAAAAAATTAGAGAATGTTGCTCCACCACTAAATTCCAACGATGTCGTTAATTTGCAAACTGTTCAACGTATCGTTCAGTCGGAAGTCAAAACTGTTACAGACACCATCATAGCATACTTGAAAAGTAATATCAGTAACTTAGTTGAAATAAATAAATCAGTGATAAAAATAGATACTCAAAATACAGAAGTAGACGTGTCGTCTGCCCATGGAGCATCAAAAAGTGGTGGCAGAGCTTCATAAATCATCCAGGCGTAATTATCCTCGACGCAAGTACGATATTCGAGGAATAGACGAGACCTGACAGGCTGATCTCGTCGATATGCAGGCTTATTCTAGAGAAAATCGCGGATACAATTGGCTTCTTACGATAATCGATAATTTTTCAAAGCATGCGTGGACCGTGTCAGTGAAAAAGAAAACCGATAGTGATGTGGCAGCAGCACTGAAATCTGTTTTGATGAAAGGTCTAGTACCAAATAATCTTCACACGGACAAAGGCAAAGAATTTTACAATGTAACTTTTGAAGCTCTTATGAAAAAATACAGCATTAATCTCTACTCGACTTGTAGTTCACTCAAAGCTTCAATATGTGAACGATTCAATCGTACGTTGAAAAATGCTATGTAGATAAAATTTCTTCTACGCGGCAATCACAAATGGGTAGATATACTACCAAAGCTCACTGCTGCTTACAACAATCGTAAACACAGAACGATTGGTATGAAACCTATTCAAGTGACAACGGTGAATCAAGCTCAAGTATTACGCAATTTTGCTCAAGAATGTACAAGAAGGAGGCCAAAGTTCAAAGTTGGCGATAAAATGAAAGTGAGTAATGCGAAACAAATATTTGAAAAAGGATAAACACTGAATTGGTCTACGGAAATATTTACTATTGTACGTGTAGTTTCATCAAATCCAAATATTTATCACTTGAAAGATTATCAAGATCAGCCCATTCTTGGTGGTTTTTACGAGCAGGAACTACAAAAAACGAATCATCCCGATATATATCTGGTTGAAAAATTATTAAAAGACGTGATAATCGAGTGTTTGTGAAATGGTTAGGATTCGATAATTCACATAATAGTTGGATAGTTAAAAGTGAAGTGTAGAAAAAAAAAGAGAGTTAGTCTAAACTGAAGTATGTAGATTTAAGGATAAATAAATAAACATTTGATGTAGAAATATGATTGGAGTATTTATTTATTAATAATAATAATGTATCTATGCGCTACTAAATTCTATACAGTTTCCTCCTTGATAATTTATAAATAAATTAAGTTTATTGGTGTTATCCATCAAATTGTCCATCAATTTTTTATTTTGAATAATTGCATTCGACAGCTTGGATGACAGAAACAGTTGAAATTCATCATCAATCTCAAATATTATTTTGTTACCAAATCGTGTTGTAACTGGCTTTAGTTTGGTGATCATATAGTTGTATCCTTTCGTCAATTCACTAACTTTTTTGGTGGGCTTAAATTCACCATGTGCAATAATATTTAGTTGCGTAAGATCCATCTGTAAAAGAAACAAATTAGTAATAACAACTCAACTTGTAGAAAGGAAAAAAAAAGACTTGTAGAATATTTTGTATTCACCTCAAGGTGAAATAATTTTTTTCTTTTTTCTTTCAATCACTAAACTTTGAAATTTTAGCGACAAATCTAGCTTCTAGTAACTTTCTTTTCTTTGATGTAATTTTACTTAGAATATAATTAGAAGAAGACTGTTGCTGCTCACTGATTGCTGCTGCTGCTGCTGCTACTATTGTCGATGACTTTTTCTCGACGAGAATGAGCTTCGCAGACCGTCGTTGCGATTGATATAACGTTGTTCCCATCCCATTCTCTGCTCCCTTCTCCAAATTCGTTGGCGACTCGTTAGAGGTGACTTTTTAATGTTTCATTTTGTTTGGAACAGTCTATAACTATTAGCGGCACTTTATTAATGAAATCTTTTTTATTGAGTAACGGCTCGTTTTCTTTACCATAATAAGCATTTTGAAAACTAGTATACATATCGTAGAGAACAGCATACTGATTTTGATTGATATTCAAAATGAGATTTCCATACGGATAGCACTGTGTATTGAGGAATAGCTTCATATTACTAATATTACAATTATTAATTACTAATATTACAATAAAATTACTAGAATTAACACTCGTAACGTTGAATTAAGACTCAGCTTTTACGTTTAGTTTGAAAAGCTAAAATAACAAAGCGAGGCTTTTCCAATTGATTGGAAGTCTTAACACTCCAAACATGCTTTGATGTACGTGGTAATTTTGGATACTCATACATTTCCCAAGTACGATAACTCATTGTAATTACACGATTTCGTCCAATCTGATTGAGTAATTTGATTTTTTCTTTGTTTGCAACCATCACATATGACATCAAACATTCAACCTTAGTTAAAGTAATTTTTGATTTTTCTGAAGCTTCAGGATTCCTTACTGGAATAATTAAAATAGCATTCAAATCATCTTTTGATCTTGTGAGAATAAGTTCATGCTTGACATTGACTACAATTTTCCGATAATCTTTAGCAAAGCCCATCAACATATTGAGAGGTATAGTAACATCAAAAAAACCTAGAGCATTACATATTAAAACTTCATTGTTATCACCATTCCATCCGGCATTTTCAGCGATAGAGCTCTGACATGGATTGTGTGAAAGCCAATTTTTCATGAGGGTGGTTAAGCCTACATTTTTCACTGTATCAATTTGAATAGCATTTATTTCATATCGTATTTCCTCGAACAAATGACAGAGGGCGTTGTTGACTAATAAAGTGTTCTCCACTGGCATAGTACCGTCAGGCTTGGTCAACCTACCACAAATATGAATCATACTGCGCGATGGAAACAGAGATAAATCTTGATGTTCTGATGTTCATATCACTTATAAATAATAATAATTCGAACTCTCGTATCTAGCTAATTACAAAATTTGTTATTTGTTGATTTTATACAATATACAATTATCGCAAATAGTGTCGTGAAAAGTTATTAACTAATAAAGTTAATTAACGTGATATTATAATATTTACAATAGAAAATTATTAAATTTTTATATAACTTTATAGTTGATTTAATTTGGAAGTATTTTCTAAAAATAAATATTTATATTAATTAATAATATTTGAATTATAACTAATTTTTCATATTTGTAACGGTTTTTCCTAATCTTATAATGTAATTATTAGGTTAATTATCTAAGATTCCTAAATCATAAAGCTATCATTATCAAGTATAAAATTAATACTTTCGTTTTATATACAGCTTATCGTTTAAATAAATTATTAATTGATTATTTATTAATAACAGTTATTATTCAGCTGTTATTAATGAAACCAATTCTTACTCATGTTCTATACTTATTCATTTTGCATATGGATTATTTACATTTTTTTAATATTTCATAATGTTCTCGTAATAAATAAATCAACTTTGCATATTAAAATTCATTAATATTTCATAATTAAATGCAATTTGTGTTATTATATTCTGAATCTACGTATTTAAATTTATATAATAAATACTTTGTTATACGAGGTGTGTTCAAAAAGTAAGGTGACTTTGTATTTTTAAGAAAAAAAATTTATTTATTTATCAATATTTATATTTTCCCCTTCAAAGTAATCCCCCTCAGATACAATACACTTATGCCAACGGGTTTTCCAATCCTCAAAGCACTTCTCATAAGCACTTTTCGGTATAGTCTTGAGCTCTTCCAGCGATGCAGTCTTTATCTCTCCAATCGTTGCAAATCTCCGTCCTTTCATAGGTCTCTTTAGTTTTGGGAACAAGAAAAAGTCACATGGGGCCAAATCCGGTGAATATGGTGACTGAGGCATGATTGTGGTGTTGTTTTTGGCCAAAAAATCTCTCACAAGCAAAGATGAGTGAGCAGGGACATTATCGTGATGCAAAAGCCATGAATTGTTTTTCCACAATTCTGGGCGTTTTCTTCGGATTGCTTCTTGCAAACGGCACATAACTTCAAGATAATACTGTTTATTGACCGTACGGCCATATGGTAAGAACTCCTGATGCACCACGCCATGGTAATCGAAGAAAACAGTGAGCAAAACTTTGACATTTGATCGAACTTGGCGTGCTTTTTTCGGTCTTGGCTCATCTGGGCTCTTCCATTGGGACGATTGGACTTTGGTTTCGATATCATAATCATATACCCATGATTCGTCACCAGTTATGACCCTTTTGGGTAAATCTGGGTCGTCGTTGACGTCATTCAACAGTTCTTGAGCGATGCTCATGCGACGGTTCTTTTGGTCAAAATTTAGCAATTTCGGAACAAACTTCGCTGACATACGTCTCATGCTCAATACGTTAAAAAATTTTATGGCACGAGCCAAGCGATATACCAACATCCTCAGTAACTTCTCTGATAGTGATTCGACGATTTTCCAGAACAATTTTCATCACTGCTTGAACGTTTTCATCAGTTGTTGACGTGCCTGGGCGTCCAGAGCGAGGCTCGTCATTGGCATCTTCCCGGCCATCTTGGAAGAGTTTGTACCACTTGTAAACATTTTTTTTACTCAGAACAGTTTCACCGTAAGCCACCGTCAACATTTCAAGTGTTTCGGAGTACTTTATTTTATTTTTTACACAAAATTTGATGCAAATCCTTCGATCCATATTTTTCGATAGCAAGAAATCGCCGAGCACGCAAAACACTTATAACCTTTACGCCTGTCACAACCAAACAAAAAATGCTATACACTTGAATCTTGGTACAGATGTTCGGGAAGAGTGTACCAACATAACAAAACAAAAAAATCGATAATCGAAAGTACGTTGCCCGTGAAATTTGGGAAGTCACCTTACTTTTTGAAAACACCTCGTATTAAAATTATCTCTAATTAACATATTTTTCTTAATATCCAAAATCATTATATCTATATCTATTACTTTGTGATGTCACGCTATTTATTTTGATTTGACTCTTATATGAATACAATCGAGTAAACAGTGAGGTAGCGCCGCTTAATGTATTGATTTGAATAAACAGATAGATACGTTAGACTAGTTGCAGTAATTCAGTGATTTAATAAATAGCTCATAAATAGGACTGTTACAATGTTGAATTGCTATATGAATTCCATCGCTAATATTGAAATATGATAATGAATAAGGCTTATGCGGATGAACTTGATAATGAGCTATAGACTTATCGAAAGCGACAGCTGAATGAATGTCTTGCAACGATTACCGAAAATCGTCAGACTCGCGCGAGGTTAATGAGCGGCTAGACGAGAGGAGCCGCGTTCGGTTCGCGAGAGAGAGAGAGAGCGCGTAGGGGCAATGACCGGGAGGGGAGGCTCCGACCGGCAGTATGACTGTATCACTCAGTCAGTGCGTTGACCTAACCTCCGTTTTCCCGAGCCGTTCAAATTTTCGCTTTGGTGTTGCGAAGTGCGAGGTCGGAGGTGCGAACGTTGGTGTGCTGAGTGCTTAGTGCAGCAGCAACAACAATAGCAGCAGCAGCAATAGTAGCAGCAGCATTAGCGGCAACAGCAATAACGGCGGTAGCAGCAACAACAACGACAGCAACAGTAATCTAGGCGGTGCGGCAAGCAGCGCAGCAGCGTATTAGCAGCGTGTTAATCGGATACGGTTGGCCACCGTATCCTCATCGTCCTTGCGGTAGGTGCACCATCCCTTTTATTGTTATAAGCGTGCGAATCCGCGCAGCGAGCGCGAAGAATTTGTTTGTTGCGCGCGAGCGGTTAGTTCGCGGCATCCGTGGTTTTCTCTCTCTCTCATTTTCAGCGTGTATTGTCATTCACGCGAGCGTGCGTAAGACTCTCGGCAGATTACCCGTGTCATTGATTTTATTGAATAAATCAATTCTTAGTTTTATTTAAACGAGTTTCAGTTATTGTGTCTTTCCTTTGTCCGGAGGTCGCGGCAGTATTTGTTTACAGTTGATTCGAATTCGCCGGTAGCGTAGCACGAATCACGAAAATAGCGATAGGCGGGAATCTTCAACTTGGGTTCCAGCGGCGGCCGCAC